CTGAAGTATGTAAGCAGGTAGAGATATGAGTTTAGAAAATAGTCATTTGTTGAGCCCAGCAGATGGTGTAACCATTACATTGCTAGACTCCCACATGGCCAACTATGGTCCAAGTCCCAGACTCAGAGGCTTGAAACGCATGCCAAGTGCATGTGTGTGCATGCCTAATATCCTGAGAAGTGAATGGAGAAGGGATTGCAGCATGCACATGCCCCCTGGGGGTAGGGTGGTTTCTTATTTTTGGTCTCTCTGTCTCTCTTTCTCTCTCAAGTGAGCACAAAAATCTCTTAAAAGAAAAAGAACAAAAATATTAATTTGAGGTAGATATTATCATCTCCCTAATTTTATACCTGAAGAAACTGAAGCGCAAAGAGATTAGGTAACCTGACCTACACTCACAGTGAGTTTGTGACCCAGCTGGTATTCAAAGCCTGTGGGACTGCATAGCCTGTATCTGTCCACCGTCTACACACTCCTCAGAGCTGGGAAACATGGACTGCAGCTTCCACAGAGTGAAAACCAAGAGCTGCTGGCGGAACTTTCTTGGCCTTTTCCTCCCAACACGCTTGTGGTCTAGACCTCAGAACTAAGTGGCAGAAGGAAAGAATTTCTCCACCTTCTTTCCCCTCAGCGTTCCTCCCCACCTTCCTTATCCCACCATGTCGCCCCATCAATCTTCACTGGAAGATGTGAGAAGCCAGAACGAGGCTAAGAGGGAAACGGGGTGAGGCGGAAAGGGTGATACCGAGGTGCTGTTCCATCCACTAAAGTAGGAAAGAAGAGAGGTGTGAAAAGAGAAGATACAATGAATGGCCTGGGGCCAAACTATGGCTCAGTGGTTAAACCCAACACCATGCAAGGCTGACTGACGTGGGAAGGTTCGAGGTTCAGGTTTGGAGATCTCCCTGAGTACACTACACACATGCATGCCCAAGATCTGGGATGGACGGTGAAGCTGGAGGGTGCATGTTAGCGTCAAGACCTTAGGGGGCTCTGTTTCTCTTACTCATGAAATGGATAAATAAAATAAACTTTTTTGCTGGAGAGATTTTTGCTATACGGTGTGTGTGCTTGCTGGAGAGACAGAGAAACAAAAAGCAAGAAATCACCCCCTGGGAGGATAGCCACACCGCAACCCCTTCTCCTCCATTGTCCTGCAATCTTGGGCACTGCACACACTGGCATCTGATGTGAGTTTGAAGCCACCGGGTCGGGTACTGGACCTGCGGTCGACCACGTGAGAGTCCAGCAACAAAACCGCTATGCCACCTGCTGGTCCCAAACTTTAAAAAAGAAGATTAATGGCCTGGAGGGGCCGCCACCACCATCAGCCCGCAGAGCCAGAGTGGAGAGATCAGCCCGTGTTCTTGGATGAGTTCCAACAACCTGTGAAAGCGTGATTGACTATGAAGTTCCAGTCGTGCAGAGACATGCCTCCCCCAAGGACATTAGGAAGGTATGCCGGAAACTGGCATTGAGGTGGCATGCAGATAAAAACCCCGCGAATAAGGAAGAGGCAGAGAGGAAATTCAAACAAGTGGCCGAGGCGTGCGAGGTGTTATTAGACACCAAAAAGCGGGATATCTATGACAGATACAGCAAGGAAGGACTGCATGGTAGAGGAGGCAGCAGGAGTCATTTCAACCATCCCTTCGAGTACAGCTTCACATTCCATAACCCAGATGACATCTTCGGGGCTTTTTTGATGGAAGGGACCCATTTTTCATTCGACTTCTTTAAAGACCCATTTGAGGACTTCTTTGGGAATCGCAGGAGACCCCGAGGAAGCAGGAGCCAAGGCACTGGGTCGTTTTCTCCGCCTTCAGTGGGTTCCCGTCTTGTAGGAAGGAGTGGATTCTTGTCTTTAGATACAGGATTTACATCATTTGAGTCACTAGGTCGGGGGCCTCCCTTCATCTCTTCCACATCACTTGGTGGTAGTGGGATGGGCAACTTCAAATCTATATGAACTTCTACTAAGACAGTGAATGGCAGAAAAACCACCACCACAAAGAGAATGGTGGAAAACTGTCACGAAAGGGTGGAAGTGGAAGACGGCCAGCTTGAGTCCCTGACGATCAATGGGTAACAAGTAACTCCACGCTGGCCTTTAGCAGAAAGGGTACACGGTCCTAGCAGTGTGGGCAGATTGACAGGAACAGTTTCTGAAGATTTCAAAGGAACTCGACTTACAGTAAATTGTACTTAACCTAAAGTATTTATAAGCAGCTCATCCGAGCCCCAATTTGTTAGAGACTTTTTGAGTTTCTCGGGACAACATCATAGGGCCATTTTTTTGTCTTTGAAATTGTTGTAAATCTCTGTATGTACTTTGTTTCTTTAGTAAACATCATCCGGGTGAGCCGCGACTCTCGTGTGTAGAATGAGACTGTAACTCACACCAGCATGGATCTACTTTCCACTATGTTTGAGCTGTGAGTCCAACAGTGTCAGCCTGCGAGGAAATTGTCGCAGGGTGGGCCTGCCACAGAAACAACTGTGTTTTCAGTATTTAGTAGTAAAAGATTTACTGCATCAATGGTAATACATTTCTGGTTCAATATAAATTAAGGATGTTTTCTAGTTGTGCATGAATGCTGGCAACTTAGTAAACTTTGACTTGTGTACTGTTAAGTTTAGGTTTAAACATAAAGCTCATGGGGCCAGCAGGTAGCATGGTGGTTAAGGGCGCTGGATTCCCACATGGCTGATCACAGTTCGAGTCCCGGATATGGCAACTTGCCTTCTCACTTTCCCTCTCTCTCTCTCTCTCTCTGGTCAAAATAAATAAACAAACAAACAAACAAATTAATTAAATTAAAAATAATTCTAAAAAATAAAACATAAAGCTGGGTAACTAGGTCTTTGTCATTTGCTTTTCTTTGGAGAGGTTTTTTTGCTATAGGGCACATGCGCTCTCGCTAGAAAGACAGAGAGAGAGAGAGAGAGAGACAGAAAGCGATGGGACCAGCAGTTAGTGTAATGGCTATGTCGCTGGACTATCACGTAGTCAACCACAGTTCGCGTCCCAGACCCGGTGGCTTAAAACTCAAGCCAGGTGCATGTGCGTGTGTGCCCACGATCCTGAGAGGAGAATGGAGGAGAAGGGATTGTGGCATGGCCATCCCCCCCCGGGGGGGGTGATTTCTCGCTTTCTGTCTGTCTGTCTGGCAAGCGCACGTGCCCTATAGCAAAAACCTCTAAAAAAAAAAAGAAAGAAAGCGAGAAATCACCCCCTCCCCGGGAGATGGCCATGCCACAATCCCTTCTCCTCCATTCTCCTCTCAGGATCTTGGGCACGCATGCACATGCACCTGGCGTGAGTCTAAGCCACTGGGTCTGGGACTCGAATAGCAATCAACTACATGGGAGTCCAGCGACACAGCCATTACGCTAACTGCTGGTCCCTTTGTCATTTGCTTTTAAAGATAAATAAATAATGCAAATGTGCTTGGTGCAAGAAAGAAAAAAGATTAATGACTAATTGATTAACCAACACACCAAAATAATTATCAAACATTCATATTGAGAGACTCTGTAGTGGGGCAATCTCTAAATAATAAATCAGAACAAAGAACCTGGATTTTCTTCCAACCACAAGCCACATGTTCTTAGGGAAGTCACTTCAACCTTTTCCTACCACTCAGTTTCCTGAGGACCTGGTTTCTGTCGGACCATGAAACCAACACCATCTTCCACTTCCTGCTCTTCTAATTCCCATATATAATCCCAAATTTCAAAGAACACCTAGCCAAACAATTTGCAGCCATTTTAATACACCAACTACTGTTTACACTAAGGACATTTGACTACTTATCTACCAAAGGAATCAAATATGTAGCAGTAATATCAGAATATGACTCTTAACTGTAACGAGTTTAAAATAGTGCATGGATAGGTAATTTTTCTCTTTTTATGTATCTTTCTCTTCAGCTAAATTGTATCTCACAAACTAGATATATCCTAGAATACTCCAACAGAATTTATTTTCTTTTGATATTTATTTCTTTGATTTCAATTTTATTTGATTTGATTTTTAAAAATTCATTAGCATTCCCTAGAGACATGCTAGTTCAGTAAAGGAAGAAACAACCTGAAAATGTGCCCAGCTGGGGAATTATAACCTACAATCAAACAGAAATTCAGATCTGGCTCTTAAATTGGGCCACGATGTGAAAACAGTCAGTCTTCCAAATGAGCTATTTTTTCCTGAGGCATTTGAATTCCTGGTTCACTGCTTTTGCAGTTTTGATTAGATAACAGTAGCTTTCTCTCTTAAGGGTTTCTCCATATGAACTAAGAAGATGGCCCCATTTCCTATTACTTAAACTTTACTTTTTCAGACTGTTAATAGATTTCTACCCAGTTTATCAAGTTTAAATGGTTACAATAAGGAGAGATTTGTAAAGTAACTATGTTGTAATAATCACTACCGTAAGAACTCAGGAGCAGGAAAGCCCACTTTCCCAGCAGATATTCCGGAACAGTCCTTCCTCACCTGGTCACTCCTCTCTGCTTCTGAAAGTTTCCTCCAGTGAACTGAACCAATGTTTGGAAAGGACTTTGACATGACTTTTTCAAGGGGCTTTTGTAAAATTACTGTTTATATATGTTTAAATAATGTTTTTCAAAAATAGTGCTAAAATGGATTCCTATTATTTAAAGAGGAATATTCCTGTTATGATTCTACTAAAATGCCACCAAAGACTCTTAGAAACTGAGAGCAAATAGGCTTATAAACATTTAGTATATTTTAATATAGTTTAGGATAAAACTTTATGAAAAATAACTTTTTTAAAATTATACCTCTTGGGCCGGCAGGTGGCATGATAGTTAAGGGACTCTAGACTCCCAAATGGCCGACCATGGTTCAAGTCCCAGATCTGATGGCTTGCTTTCTCTCTCTCTCTCTTTCTGTCACTCTTGCTCTGTTTCTCTCTGGTGAAATTAAAATACATAAATAAAGATAAATAAAATAATTCTTTTTAAAAAAATTGTACCTCTTTGTTGGTGATTGGAATGGATAGGAAATAGTTGGGTTGATTATCTTTGTGCTTTTTTTTCTTCTTCTTTATTTGATCACTCTTGATACATTGATTTTCTTTATTTCTCTTGGAATTGATTTGAGGTATATCCGTAACTAGAAGAAAAATGTAAAACCAAAATATGTTTAATATTCAGTGGAGTAAGTACATCAAATATGTTTAAATCCATCAGTTCATAGTGATACTAAAAAGAAAAGTTAAAACAAAACCTTCGCAGATCACCTTTGGGTAAGTCTGGAGAATTGTTCTCCTAAAAATGGGATAAAGAGAAAGAAGGCAAGCATTTATCCTGTCTTTCCAAAAAGCCAGATAATTATATAGGAAATCAAATAAATGTAAAATGATAAAGTTAGAATATCACCATTTTGAGATGTTTAACAGAGTAACAGAAGAACTAAAGATAATAATGGATGACAATAGATGGAAAGCTGAGGGGCAACTTCAATAATGGATATATCAGGGCAACAAGACCCGAAGCCACTGGTCAACCTTAAATCATAAAAAGGGCAAGATACGCACGGATTATATACAAGCTGATGTTATGCTACAAGAAATTTAAAATATTGTTTGGGGGGCAGGCAGAAAACATGGAGGTTAAGACACTGGACTCCACATGGCCAACTCAGTGGTTCAAGTGGCAGACTGGACAGTTTGAAAATCATGCTGGAGGGGCCAGCAAGTGGAATGATGGTTAAGGACACTGGATTTCCACATGGCCGACTGCAGTTTGAATCCTGAACCTGGTGGCTTGCCTTCTCACTTTCTCTCTCTCTCTGTCCCTCTCCAGTCAAACTAAAATAAATAAATAAAATTTTAAAATTCTTTTTAAAAATATCATGCTGGGTACATGTACATGTGTGCTCAAAATTCCAAACGGAGAATGGAAGAGAAGGAACCATGGCATGGCCACTCCCTGGGGGGTGATTTCTCAGTTTCTCTCTTTCTGTCTCTCTCTGACCAGCACACACACTCTAAAACAAAATACTACGTTTGGATCTTTCTTGCCAATATTTCAATACTTTTTGTGTGTGGGGGGGAGGGAGAGGTTTTTGCTATAGGGCTCATGCGCTTGCCAGAAAGGCAAAGACAGATAGAGATACAGCAAGGGAGAAGTCACTACCCAGGGAGGATGGCCACGCCACAATCCCTTCTCCTCCATTCTCCTCTTAGGATCTTGGGCACGCACGCACACACATCTGGCGTGAGTTTAAACCACTGGGTCCAGGACTCAACCCACAGTCTACTACATGGGAGTCCAACAACATAGCCATTATGCCAACTGCTGGTCCCCCCAACATTTTAATACTTAATTAACTTCCCGATCTCACTATTAATGTACATGAAATGTAAGGAATGGAGAAATATATTAAGTGACCAGAATATAGTAATTTGTACACAACTTGATTTCTTTTTTTTTTTTTTTGAATTTTGTACAAATTTTTTTTTTTTTTTTTTTTTTTTGGGAGAGGTTTGTTTTTTGTGTTTTGTTTTGTTTTGTTTTGTTTTGTTTTGTTTGTTTGCTATAGGGTGTGTGCTTGCCAGAAAGATGGAGAGAGACAGAGAGGCAGAAAGTGAGAAATAACCGCCTCAGGGAGGATGGCCACACCGCAATCCCTTCTCCTCCATTCTCCTCTCAGGATCTTGGGCACGCACGCACACGCACCCAGCGTGACTTTTAAGCCACCGGGTCCGGGACGCGAACCGCAGTCAACTACATGGGAGTTGAGTAACATAGCCATTAAGCTAACTGCTAGACCCATAACTTGATTTAACAATAAACAAACATACATATACACACAAGAAAAAGTGAGATATAGAGATCAAAAGAGATTGAAGAAATATATTTCTTATATATAATACATAGTCTTTGATTCCTAATTCAAATAATCCAGTATTTTTAAATTATGATACAATAAGAGCTTGACTAGCTATCTGATGAAATTAAGAATAACTATTATTTTTGTATGATACAAATATATTAGATTTTTTTTTTTCATTTTTGTTTTTAATTCCTAGGTATCCTGGATATTTCACTGGATTATTTAGACTAACTGTTGGTTATCAAAAAAAAAGTCATCAGTCAGTCAAAATACAGTTTGTAAACCTTCTTATAAATTTAATTTATTTTACTTGTTAATTTTCATAATGACTTCAGTAGCCATCTAACATGCTCTAATGAATCTGGTATTGTTGATAAAGGCTGTAGCTCTCCAATTCACGCAATTTTTTTTTAAACTAAAACACCACATGCCATTTTATGTTAATTATCTAATTTTTCCTCAAATTCTATTTATTCTCTCAAAAACTACAAAGGAATGAATTATGGGAGAAATTAATTTAATTAAGTAGTCCATCTGGTATTATGGGTTGATTGTTGTCACACTTGTTCTTAGCTAACCAGCTGAGAGAAAAATTATATTTTGTTTCATGTTTTCTTTCAGTCTTGTTATTTTAGCAGTTAAAACCTTTGGAAGTGGGGCCAGCAGGTGGCATGGTAGCTAAGGTGCTAGACTCCCGCATGTCTGACCCCAGTTCACATTCCGGACCCAGTGGCTTATTTTCTCACTCTTACTCTCTCTCTCTCTGATCAAAATGAAGAATAATGGCAGATGGCATGGTGGCTGAGGTGCTGGACTCCCACATCACCAACCATAGAAACTCCTTGACCTGGAAGCTTCCTTTCTCACTTTCCCTCTCTCTCTGGCCAAATTTAAATAAATAAATAAATAACTATTAAAGGAGTATTTTTAAAAAGAATCATAAAATTAAATAAATAATTCTTTTTAAAAAAATCTTTGAAGCAACCATTCATTTTTCTTTTAAAGAGAGATTTCTTGCTGTAGGGTGCAAGCACTAACCGGAGAGACAGAGAGAAAAGCAAGCTATCACCCCCCAGAAGGATGGCCACATCGCAATCCCTTCTCCAGTCTCTTCGCAGGATTTTGGGTATACATGCACACGTGCCCAGCATGGGTTTAAGCCACCAAGTCCAGGACTCAAACTATGGTTGACTACGTGGGAGTCCAGCAACACAACCATGATGCCATCTGCTGATCCCAAAGTAACCATTCTTAAAACTCCTAAATCATATGACTTAGAATGTTACCTTCTATATTTCATAGAATTATTTATTCCCCCCTTACTATCTGAATAAACTTTCTAAAAAAATAATTTTAGGGCCAGCCCCATGTTCCGGTGGTAAATGGAGCCAGATAACACGTGGCCAACTGTACAATTTGAATCCCAGTCCCAGGGACTTGAAAAACATGCCAGACACATGTATGTAAGTTTCCAAAATCCCAACAGAATGGGGAGATGGAGGAGAAGGGACTGTAGCATGACCACACCCCATCATGGGTTCTTTGCTCTATCTTATTTCTCTCTATAGAGTACAGACGACCTCTGCTAATTAAAACAAAACAACAACAAAAAAATAGTTTATGCAAGAAAAGGTAGTTCCAGACCAGCCATGGTGGCACAGGCAGCAGGTCTGCTGTCGGTGCATGATACTAGAGCCACAGGGAAGGCCCAGCCAGGGTCTGGACCTGGAGTAGGGATGACCTGAACCCTCTAGCATGCCCACAAGGTACCCACGACCCTGGCTGACTGGGAGGCTGAAGGAAGCACAGAGATCGTAGTATACAAGACTCATTGGAAGTCCTCCTATCTGTAGGTCATTGTCACTCTCTCTCATGATTTTTTTCGTTTTTTTAATAATAGACATGTCCAGGCTAACCAATGGCATGGTGGATAATGTGGCTAGATTCTATACAATCAACTGTACAATTCAACTCCCAGACCCAGCAACTTGAAAAACATACCAGGTGTGTGTGTGTGTGTGTGTGCATATCCAAAGTCTCGAAAGAAGAAATGGAGAAGGGACTGTTGTCTGACCATCTTCCATGGGGATGCTTTCTCACATTCTCTCTCTGTCTCTCTCGAGTAAGTGCACATACGCTTTAGCAACTTTTTTAAAAAAGACGTTTCCTACCTGATAAGTGGGAATTAAAATCAGATTTTAATTTCCATTATTTGATATTTATAAAGTTGAGTAACTTTCCATATATCTATTTACCAACTTAATTTTATCTTCTACATCCTTTGCCTAGCACCAATAACAGTACCTGATACATAGCAACCTCAATAAATATGTGTTAAATTAATGTATCCATTGGGCTTGTTTTGATGTTGATTCATTTTGCTTTCCTTAAAAGAAAAAAAAAAAAAAAAGACCCTATTATATTATTTGGAAAAATGTTTGCCTTAAACTCTTTCATAATAAAATATAAAATATGTGGTATGTGCCTCCTCAATTAATTATAGTTAGGATACAGAATATAACTTATCTTTTTGTTTAATTGATTCAGGATAATCATTTACTGTATCAGGTACTAAGATTCCATTTTACTTTTTTTTTTTTTTTTTGAGAGGTTTTTGCTATAGGGCACATGCGCTCACTGGACAGACAGAGAAACAGAAAGCGAGAAATCACCCCACAGGGAGGATGGCCACGCCGCCATCCCTTCTTCTCCAGTCTCTTCTTGGGATCTTAGGCACACACGCACATGCGCCCAGCATGAGTTTTAAGCCACCAGGTCTGGGATATGAACCACGGTCTACTACATGGGAGTCCAATGACATAGCCATTAAGCTAACAGCATTTCCTATAAAAATGTTTTCGTAGATAAAAGTTTCAATTGATATTTTTAAATATCACAAAGTATTTTAAAGATGTAACAACTTCATAGTATTATCTAATAAATAGCAAAATAATAACTTCCCTCATCTCTAAAATCTTCAGTCATTATAAGATTAGAATCCTGTGTGAGGTAAAATAAGGTTTATAATCATTTCAATACAAAGTGAACTAACAACCACACTTAAGAAAAACAGATAGGGAGACAGCAGGTGGCATGGAGGTTAAGGTGGCCAGATCCCACATGGTCAATTGTGTGGCTCGAGTCCCGGACTCGAGTCCCTTGAGAGACCTGCAAGGCACATGTATGTGCCTGCCCCAAATCCAAAGAGGAAAATAGAGGAGAAGGCACTGAGGCATGGCAATTCCCCCTTAGGTTGTGATTCCTCACTTTCTCCCTCTTTCTGTCTCTCTTTTACCAGCAAGCACATGCACCCTATAATAATTTTTTTTTAGAAAATGAGAGGACTAAGAAATTAGAAATTGTCGATTTCATAACAAGTTGTATTCAACGGTGTGAATTTAGTTAAATTACTTAAGTCTCGGTTTTCACTTCTCGAAACGCATAGCCTGAACTAAATCGTTTCTTATGAGAGCTCTAACCGTAGGAGCCCTATCATAGATAACTGTCTCAAATCATGGCAAGGCCTTATGTGAGGCTGCAAACAGCGAATGCACAGAGCATGTCATCAGTATGGATGTGCTGAATAGAGGGGTGCTTTTCTTATTTTCCTATTCACACGTAGCCTGGATAACAGGAAAATCTGTCACATTGTTAGTGGAAGTAGCCCCAAATATCATGGACAGTATTGTTTTTATAGGGACACAAAATTCATAGTGCCAGCAGTATTTAAATCAAGTTAGTTACTGATTCTCTAAAGTTTGTGGATGGAGCTCTCAAGGACTAAACTATTCCAGTAAATGTATATTTAATTAAAAGTTTAACTGTTAGGCCCAGCAGGTGTCCCAGTGGCTAAGGTGCTGCACTCTCATATAGCCAACCATAGTTTGAGTCCCAGACGTGGCAGCTTGCCTTCTCTCTTTCTCTCTCCATCTCTCTCTCTCTCTCTCTTGTGTGCATGCACACGCCCGATAGCAAATTTTTAAAATAATAGTACCAAAAGTAGACAAGTATTTTTTTTTAAGTTTAACTGTTAAGCTCCTTGAGGGCAGGAATAATGCCTCTTTTGCTCACTGATGAGCCATCCTGATGCCAAACAAAGTGCTTGGTGTGTATCGAATAGCCAATAAACTTCCGTTAGACAAAGGGGAGCAACTAAAATTAGCAGTGGCTCAATAATAACTGAAGGAGGTCATAAACCATGGCATCACCTGGACCAATGTTTTCAGAAGTATCTGATCTAACCCAAAATTTTGTGTGCCATGTCTTAATATTATCAGTGACAGTTTTGACAACATATGACCAATACAGATAACTGCTGATTAACAATCAATACTCAAAAACATGACAAGTAAAATAATTTATTAAGGGAAACATATATATATTTAACTACCTTTACTATTTATTGCTTCTAAATAAAGTTTACTAAAGTACTTACTGTCACAATCGTCTTTAATATCTATTGTAGCAAATGGCATTTCGACCATAGTGTTAGCTTTAAATTCCTCCGTCATCATCTCTTCCCCTAATTCATTTTCACACTCGCTGGAATTTATCCCTCCTTTAATAAAACACAGAAAGAAAACTGTATTGTTTAACTTATTTTAAAACTCATAAACCAAAACAACTCAACTAACTGAATTAAATATAAATGAGTATCTGTAAAGAAATGTATTAGGGACCAACAGATGGCATAGCAATTACATCACTGGACTCCCACTTGGCTGACCGCAGTTCGAATCCCAGACTCAGTGACTCAAAAACCATGCTGTGCACGTGTGTGTGTGTGTGTGTGTATGTGTGTGTTTGTGTGTGCCAAAGATCCCAGGAAAACAGAGAAGTAACTGCAGCATAGCCATACCCCCTGGGGGGTGATTTCTCACTTTCCCTTTCACAGTGTCTGTGTCCCTCTCCAGTAAGCACATGCACCGTATGGCAAAATCCTCTTAAAAAATAAAAAAAAAAAAAAGAAATCTATTACTGGGGCCAGTAGGTGGCATAGTGGTTAAGACACTGGACTCGCACACGATTGACAGTGGCTCGGACCCGTTGGTTTGAGAAATGTGCTGGGCACATGTATACACGTGCTCAAGGTCCCGAAAGGAAGGAGAGATGGAAGTGAAGGGATTGTGGCATGATCGTGACCCACTGGGGGACAGGGAAGCTTTCTCACTTTTCTTCTCTTTCTGTCTGTCTGTCTCTCTACTGTGAGCACATGTGCCCTCAGGCAAAATTTAAAAACAAACAAAAAACTGACTCATATTGGCACTCTGATAACACAACCAAACTCATATGGGCAAGGTCCCAGGCTCACAACCCAGGACCTCTCTGAGCATGAGGAGAACATGCTGTGCTTACAATCCAGGCCAGCTGAGTCTGGGGGTAGAGAGCCACATGAACACTTGGTTGTGGGTGTCTCTCTCTCTTAAGAAAAAAAGGACCAGCAGATGGTGTAATGGTTACATTGTCTCCCACATAATAAACTGCAGTTCAACTCCCAAACCTGGTGAGTTAAAACTCACACAAGGTGCATATGTGTGCATGCCCAAGATCCAGAGAGGAAAATGGAGAGAAAGATATTTTAGTATGGCCATCCTCCCCCCAGGGGTGGGTGGGGGGTGATTGCTCACTTTCTGTCTCTCCAGAGAGCACATCAGCTCTACAGCAAAAATATCTCTAAAAAAAATAATAAATAGGGACCAGCATTTGATGTAATGGCTACGTCACTGGACTCCCATGTATTTGACTGCAGTTTGTGTCCCGGACTCAGTGACTTAAACTCACGCCAGGCGCATGTGCGTACATGCCCAAGATTCCGAGAGGAGAATGGAGGAGAAGGGATTGCAACATGGCCATCCCCCTTGGGGGGTGATTTCTCACTTTCTATCTCTGTCTTTCTCTGTCCCTCTGGCATGCACCATGTAGCAAAAACCTCTCCAAATAAATAAATAAATAAATAAATAAATAACTCTTAAAGCTTTTAAACTATTGAGTCATTGCTTTGAATACTTTTAAAAGTCTCTTAAAATTTAGTGTATGTACAGTTAAAACTACATTTTATTGGGATACTAAACTTCAGCTGTGAAATATTGATTTCCTTGACCAAAAATAAAGATTTTCTGCTGAGACTTTTTCCTCCAGATTCATTTATAGTAGGAAAGGCACAAACCCAGGCCAGGCTCATTCAGAGATGGATACTGAACTTCAGCTGTGAACTATGATTTCCTTGACCAAAAATAAAGATTTTCTGCTGAGACTTCTTTCTCCAGATTCATTTCTACCTCTACACACTAAGTGTCTACACAGGCCCAAGTGAACAGCTTCCAAACATCTGAATGCAATTAAGGTCAGAATATTCTTCTATTCCCACTGAATCTGATGCACAAAGAGTGAAAACAGAACAGAAGAGAGATTGCAGATCACCTCCTTCTGTACCTCTCTGAACGCTCAGATTGAACTTCAAGAATTAGGAAGAAACCCACCACCCATCAGATGACTGAAATCACTGCAAGGTCACAAAAAATATGGGAAAGCATGAAAATTACTCTCCTCCAAGGAAAAATAACTCCTATTCATCCTCAGACAGTACAATGAAATTCATGGAAATGTCTGTTAAATAATTTAGAATATTCATAGTGACAAACCTAACAGAAATGGAAGAGAAGAGGTAAAATGAACTGCAGAAGAGACAGGAGAAAGGAGCTGACGAGTTCTGGGAGGTGAGGAAATTCTTGTAAGATCTAAGAGAGGAAATACACACTATAAAAAAGAATTAAATGGACCTGTTAGAGATGAAGGCTATAATACAGGAAGTCAAAA